ATCAAAATTATTGATGACAATATTTAAAAGTGTTCATGTTGAAAAAAAAAAATTACGTTGAATAAAAAAAGAAAGAAAAGCAAAAATATAAATAAAACTCTATACCTTGCAATAATACTGAGAGAGGCTCTAGATAAAATATTGAAATGAAGTTAAGCCTTCACACAAGTACTATCATATCATAATTCACTTCGCCATGATTAAAGCATATACTTCAAATGTTGGTGACAAGTATAATTGAAAAATTGTGGCAAAGTAACAGTTGAAAATTATGAAGAAATCAATTATTTATTCATTACTGTTCCTTTTTTTTACAGAAATATTTTTAATATGAAAAATAAAGGTATATTTTTTTGTTGTTGCTTTTGTAAAAAAAAATTATCGACTTCTCTCCAAAATACAATGAAAAGGGGTGCCAATAGAATATAACTAAAAATATACTCTGTAAAGCTATGAGCTAGTGTAAAAAACACATTCCAAGACAAATTAATATAATCATAAAATAATCTTTTTTTATACATTTAGCACACAGTATTCTTTCAATTCTTCATTTTGTTTTACACCACCCTTTTACTGCGGCTAGCACATTTTCTGTATATTTTCAGAATTCAGAGAATTTAAGAAAATCAACGAATACAAACATTTTTGTTTTTGTCAAAGACGATTTTCTTTAAACCTACGCGCGCGGGTGACGTTAATATAAAAAGCCTTAGGCTGTCAAGATCATTTTTTTTTTCATACGATATCATTTTCATATGATTGAATTTTTTTGTTTTCATATTTCTAAGATTGTTTCAGGACAATTTAATGTCTTTAAATCGTGTGACGCAAAATCATTGAAAATGTTGGCCTCAGTCGAAGAACAAAGTAACTTCCGGTTTGGTCAAATTTTGTCAAAAACTTTCAAATTGTGTTAACTTTTCATTTATTGGAGCTATACCGAAAATTTCATATTTTATATTTGTAATTTTTTGTGATATCAAGGACAATTAAACACTAAAATAAAAGTTATTAAAACGTGGTGCAAGGATTGACCTTTACCTTGGAGTTCTCCCATCTTTACACAAAAATTTTGCCAATGTTTTGTGTTTTTTAGTGAAACAAAATTTGATAATGATCACAAAAAATTACTAATTACACAAAACTTCGTGCCACAAATGATTTATTTTTTTAAGGTTCGTCACGGATCATTGGTTTTCATTTTGCCTTTTTGTAATAACCTTGGAAAATATCATACCATTCCATGAAAAAAATTAAACTTTTTAAAGTTGAACATAACTTTTGTTAAGTGTATACTTTTCCAAGGATAAATGTCAAAAGACATAAAATTAGAGTGAACAGCTGTAAAATCAGATTACATGTTTAAATTAGGTGCATCGCGCATGTCACGACAATACACAAATACACACATGTAATGTATTTAATTTCTGTAAACTAATCTATTGATAAAAATCCTTAAATATTTTTCAAGTTTGTTTTTAACTGTAGTGTTTTCTTTCATATATTACAAGGACAGATTACTCTGACTGCAAAGAAAAAAATATGGAAGAGAACTCTTCAGAGTGCAGTGTTTACATATATGTAAGAGGTCTCTTAGAATCAAATAAAATTTGGGGTGCATGCAGTAGTATTGCTTCTCTTCTCTTGAAGACACAATATTATTTTTTTTTTACATTTATAAAACTGAGCATTGTTGAAATAAGTCCGAAATGTCTCACGTTTTCCACGATTTTTTTACGATTTTGATATTACGTGCCAGGGACAAGTTTCAGGTGTAAAGACGATATAATGTATATAATACTGCTGATTTTTTCAACGACAAAGTACGATGATTTCCACCATACCCGAAAAAAAATCATTTTTTGTAACCCTTTAGGCTCATTATTTTATATGTTAGTCCTATAAAATATTGACCCCCAAAAATGACCCCTTTAAAGTGATACAAAATTTATAACATGAAAAAATATAATTGTTCTTCCTTCAATAATTTATGCATGTGTTCGAATAGATTTTATTTTGTTCTTCTTAGCACGTAGGTGTAATAAAGTTCATTATTGACAATTCAGTTTTAAGCAATTAACAATCAATCAATTAATCATTTCTCTGATAAAGGAGTAAACCTAGAAAATCAAAGATGGTACATGTAAATGGATCAAACGCACGCTGGAGATGAAATTTATGAATTTTTTTTTTCACTGACTCCATTGATACGTTGTATCAGAAAAAAAAATGTTGGGAAAAAGTAGAAATTTGTAGCAGACGAATTAATATCGGTGCGTACAAATAAGTAATTTGTTTGAATTAATAAGGTTTCATTAGGACGAGTGAATAAAAATAGAAATGGATGACAGGACGCCTCGATGCTGTATATTTTTCATATGTTCCATCCTATACATGCAGACTATCACAATATGATTAAAGATATTAAATCTTTGCAAATACATATTCTTTTTATACCCCCCCCCCCCCCGTTAGAACAACCAGACTTGCAATGAACATTTTCAACAGAAATTAAAATAGAGATTCACTATCTTTCAATGCTAAAATTGTGTTTGAAAAGAGATTCTTTAATTGTCAAGTAAAAAACAGTTCTTTTCAATATTCCTCCTTTTAATGTTTTCTTAAAGAATGATATTCCACTTGTTTTTAGAAATCAAACTATGCAACAATCAGGTTTAAATACTCTTTAATAGGAACAATTAATTTTTCCTTCATTTCAACTTTTAGCTTGTATAAGTTTGGCAAATCCCAATTTGACAATGAAAGAGGAGGAAATTTTTATCCCCCCCCCCAAAAAATTACGTTGAATAAAAAAAGAAAGAAAAGCAAAAATATAAATAAAACTCTATACCTTGCAATAATACTGAGAGAGGCTCTAGATAAAATATTGAAATGAAGTTAAGCCTTCACACAAGTACTATCATATCATAATTTACTTCGCCATGATTAAAGCATATACTTCAAATGTTGGTGGGGGTATACTTGAAAGTATCGTGGCAAAGTAACAGTTGAAAATTAGTAGAATAGTAGATTATTTTAAGCTTATTTTTAGTCCCTCCTTATAGAAAAATAAAGGTAGGGTATTTTTTTGTTGTTGCTTTTGTTGATTATCGACTTCCTCCTAAATAAGTAAGGGGGTGGGGTGGGTATAACACCTAAAAATATACTCTGTAAAGCTATGAGCTAGTGTAAAATACACATTCCAATGCAAAAACTATACATGTAGATATAACCTTTTGATATAGCACACAGTATTCATTCAATTCTTCATTCTTGTTTTACTCCACCCTTTTACTCAGTTCTGAGTATATTTTTCAGAGAATTTAATAAGAAAATCAGAACAAACATTTTCATTTTTGTAACGTCTTCTTTATACTGTATGATAATATAAAAAGTTAATTGAAGATCATATTTTTTTTTCATGTTCCCTTACGCGTTATCGAAGATTCGGGGGGTATATAATTTTATCGTGTCCGTCTGTATGTCTGTCTGTCTATCTATCTGGCGGTTTGTTTGTCCGCAAAAACTTTAACCTTGACCATAACTTTTCATTTATTGGAGCTATGACTTTCATATTTTATATTTGTATTCCTTGTGACAAGACCTACTTTGGGTACTACCAAATTTGACCTTTTGACCTTTACCTTGGAGTTTGTCCCATTTTACACAAAAATGCCAAATTTTTACTTTGGCCATAACTTTTAAACGGTAGATACTAGTACTCTAATACTTCACATATGTATTTTTTGGCATGACCTTTCATTGGATACTAAAGAGTTTTACCGTTTGACATTGACCTTGGAGATTTCCGTACTTATGAAAAAAATTAAACTTGTTTAACCTTGGCCATAACTTTTGAACGGTAAGGGCTAGGGTTTTCTTACTTCACATATGTTATCCTTGTTACATTAAACCTTTCTTAAGAAACCATCAACTTTGACCCTTTGACCTTTGAGTTTGACCTACCTTTCAAAAACTTATCCTTAGCCATTACTTTTAAACAAGTGGTGCTAGGGCTTTCCTATTTTGCAACTGTATTTCTTGTGAGAAGACCCTACTTTGGGTACCAATATATTTAAATTGCATTTAAGAACAATTTAATTGTCGCTATGTTGCCATACATGGGCATAGCTGTTTCACAAACACATCTTTTTATATATAAGAGGAGTTGCGTTTTGAAAATAAGCAGATGATATAATTTTCCAAAGCTGACACAATGAAAGACGGACATCTGTCATCAAAGTATATACCCTCCCGCTTTTCAAGCGGAGGATATACGTATATAATACTGCTGATTTTTTCTGTCTAACTCGAGCGAAGTTTGGGTACATTTTTTTTAAAAATTAAACAATGTTTACCTAACCCTTTAGACTCGAACATTTACAGTAACTCCTTTGGATTCTGAATATAGGTTGACCTTAAAATATAATATATATAAAATATAATGTTATGAGTTGCATATCATGTAAACAAAGTATTCCCAACTTAGCTATGCATATGAATAACAATAGAAATGGCCAATACTGCTTCTTTATCTAATTTTTTTTTTTTGCCCGGCAAAATTATTTAATCCACAGGGAGTATTTTTCTTTCATGTAATTTAATACACCAAAACCTGGGTTCTGACAAATTTTTAATACCTATTAAACATAAATTTAATGAATTGTGGAATTTTATTTTTCGCGCAAAACATCGGGTTCATTATTCTCATTCGTCTTTACACCGGCGCAGTTATGAAAAACTTCTTTCGCCGTCTCTAACCGGAGTTGATTTTCAATATTTGCGAACCAAACTTAATGCCGAAATTAGGATTTATCAATAGCACAATGTCTCTAGTACTCACCGTTATCGATGAAAAGAAATGATCACTCAGCATTTTGTTTCAGGATAAAAATAACAACTAATTACTTTTTATTTCTATTTTTTTTTTATTAAGAAATCAAAATTTATTCAATCAAACAGATTAATTTACAGTAAAAACTAATTTTTTTTTCTTGTATTTAACCCCAACCGCCATTATTTCCCCAACCCCTTCCCCATCCGGGTGTTGAAGGGTTAAAGTTCATGGCAGGGGTCATAGTTGGAGGCGGTCCAAAGTCGATGGTCATCTCTACACCAATGTTGACCGGAATTGGATAGAGTGGTTCCATTGCGTTAATGAGGCCTGATATTTGGAAGGTCTTCGGACTCATCTCAACTGGTGCCTCTGTGTTTAAAAAAGATTTCTTCATTAATGATTTAGCAGTTTCTGCAATGTGCTTTTTGCTACAAATCAAGCATTCATATAGACAGATACTCAGAAAAAAGATGATAAATCATGATCAGACGATAGATTTACTAAAACTAAATGTACTCAGCTACAAATCATTAAAAAAAAAATTTTTTCATAAAATATTAAAAATTTAAGACTATCATGTACCTGGCATTAATAGATACACATTGTTACTATTAATGGCGTCTTGGCAATATCTGGTGATGAACACGCCTCCTCTTCTTCGCACGGCCGGGCCATCTAGTCGATTCTTAACGGTGGCCGTCATGTGCATCATTTCTCCCATCTCCAGAGTTCTCTGAAAAATTAAAAATAATCAAATCAAGCTTAAGTAATGTTTATCTTAATTAATGCCAGTTTTTGGTTTTTTTTTTAGTTTGGTGGGGATGGGGATAGCTGTTTGGTTGCGATATAACATACCTCGTGATTAACTTTTGAAATAACATTTAAAAGACAAAAATAAGTTCGATATTCAAATATTTATAGTAATTATATTGCTTTCAAAATTTTTTTTTTCATTGAGAAAAATAAACCACATTCTAATGGAATAATTCTGAAGTTAGTTGATATTTAAAAATTACGGTTAACTTCCCAAGACTTCACAAATCTTTTTCATAAATCTTACAATGGTCCTTGGCTATGTTTAACTTAACAGTAACTAACTTATAAATACAACAATGCAGCTATTTTTCTTTAAAAATTCATAGAATTTAAAAAAAAAAAAAAAGACTGAAAGTTTATGATATACTAGCATGTATTTCTACATAGGGATTTAAAAAGTAATTAATGCAACATTCAACTGTCTCAGAGAGAATGCCACTAAAATTTTTAGAGTTGATCTACATATAAACGATTTTCTAACAAAAAAAAACCGCTGTCGAGACAATCAATTTTCAAGAGTTATCTTTCCTAGCTAAAAAATGCAAGAAATATAATTATATGAAATCCAAGTAGAAGAGATCACATAATTTTTTTTTCTTTCTAATAATGAGCAAGACGTTTTGGAGGTAAAATTAAAAAGTCTGGAAAAAGTTGACTAGTATAATTCTTAACACTGAAAATTTGTTACTCTTTATGGGGTCAATTAAGAGACCCAAAGTGAAATGCTACACTGTACTAAAAGAGGCAACATATGGGCATCCACTGATTTTTAGCCGGGCTTACTGCTCAAAAAGCAGTTCAATCAGCTTATGTCAACCTGTTCAAGGCAGGAAGTCCATCCCATAGTCGCCATATCAAAGTTACATGTAACAAGAATAGATATGGGTTACCCCATATCCAAAGATATTCGACTGTTAGATTTAATATGTTTAACAGTGTTTATAATGACGTTAATAAAAAAAAAACTGCACTGTCTAATTATGGAACTGTTGTAAATATCGTGATTCCATAGCATTACGGTCACCCAGTCTCCTAACAAACAGTACACATAGGCCTACATGTACCTGTAGCCTTGGTCTACACACGTGCAATGGAGCTGTCACGCGCATCCAGCGAGCTCGGAGAAACACGTTTTGTTTTGCCGAGAAGTTACGGTGTCAGACAAAATTTTTCTTTTCTTAATTAGATCATATAAATACGAATTCTGATTAATAAAAATTATACAATCCCTGTTGAACTTTATATAGTTTGTTCTAACATTTGCATCTGCAACAACTTGTGTTTAAAATGGCCGGGTTGGGAAAATCAGGACCGGGTCGGAAAATTCTAAACTGAAAACATGGAAAACCTTTTTTGTTTTGAAAATAACTGAAATATACTAATATATTTGTCGCAGAAATTACTTACATTATTCAAGTTCTATATATAATGGTATGCTAAACTTCAACACGAACCCGAATCTCCAACCCATGCAGTTCTCGTTTTGCCACACATACCCTACACATTCGGCAAACCTCGGCTGATTCCGTGAACTAGATGAGGTACGAATCGGCCGAGGTGTGCCGAGTGATACCCTACAGTTTACAAAGTGTACACACGAGCAGGCCAGGGATTGAAAATTCCGTCATTTAATAATACACACACACAGAATGATTAATGTTTTCTTTAAGAACAAATTGTATGATAATTAACGGACTATAAACATGTACTTAATACAATTGTTGATATAGTATTATCAATTCATTGGTGAAAAGATATGAATCGAAGAATGACCTAATTATTCTCTGTTATCAAACACGTAAAAAAAAAAAGGCTGAGGAGGGAGCGAGCGTAGGAATATTGATATTTTTTATTTGCATTTCGGGGGGAAAGTGACTTTCTAATGATATTTTGACGTTATTTTTGATTTCTTTAACGTATGACATACACAACTTTACTCTTATCATGAACAATAATGTTGTATCTACTTATCATGATGGAATTATTTTGGTCGGACCAATATGTGTGAGCTGCCGCTGAATACAGTTATATATCTTGCAAAGATAGTATGCATTGATCGAATATATAGAAAATATAGTACTTACTCTGAACCGCTTTTGAGATAATACAATCGCTAAATAAAGCAACAAAAATAAAAGTTTTAGCTACCGGTACATAAATAAACATTAGTAGCAATGACTTTGTAAACTTCACTCCTTAGTCAAAGAACATACCGTAAATCTGGAAATTTTTACTGTATATAAATTTTTAGCAAATTTGCGCGTGCAATGCATTCGCAAAAATATTTTTCTTAAAAATAAATCAACATGAAAAGAATTTTTTCTGAAAGTTGGTGTCTATTTTTAACTCAGTGAATAGAGTTCCAAATGTAAGCACGGCGTGTAAATTTTAGGTGAGAAAAAAAAAAAACAAAAGTTGAGAAAATTAATTATATTTTTGTCTTTATTTGGATTATATTTTAGGTTAAAAGGCATACACAACCTCTAAAAGGTTTATTAAAATTAATTTAGAAGTTATTTTCAGTGCAAATCCTTTTGTATTTTTATCTTCAAAATTGTTTCGGAGCGATTCTGCAATTTCTTGCCAAGTTGCAAGTATATTGGTGGTATTCTAACTGCATGTGCAAACTAAATTGAAAAATAAACTGATAGGAAAATCTTAAGTGATTTTTATTTTGAGCGACAGTGACAATTCGCAAAATTTTGAAGCGTAAAAATTAATCAAAAGCTTTTTGACCCAAATTCGCAAAAATAAATCGTAGTTCTCTACACAGACGAGGAAAAGCAGGAGAGGGAACCAGACTGGCCTGTTTGTTTACATTCGGCGGTACCAGGTTAATTCTGATTCTCATAAAATATGGTCGTGGTACTACGATCGATAAACTAACTGTCTCATCATTAATAGTGATATTTTTGAAAAAAAAAAATTTCATCAGAATTTTTGATCTGATACTCTTGTTATCTGTTGATATAATATGAATACATGATTCATGTAAGAAATTCATTCTACTCTGTAAATGAGCCCGTTTCTCTATACTCCTGAGTACTTTGATTTTTTTCGGTGGGCAGTACCCTATCCTGGAACAATTAAAAAACAATATGCAGAGATTTTTTTTACAGTTAAATTACACATTTACGAACCAGAAAACTACTGGTTTTCCCCCAAAGATTAGCAGCCAAAGAAAATAACTTTTGAAAACCATGGATTCAAGTATTGTAAGTTTTAAATTAATATTTGTTATGTTAAAATAGATTTTAATACTTTTGTTTTTCCTCTGGTATGTAATTCTTTCACCGCTTGATCAAAGGTTGTTATATTCTTCATAAGGAAGCAAGCTCGCTGTCCGTTGAAAGGCATGCCGGGAAAATTGGTTCCTGGTATTACATCCATGCGCACTGCCATCATTCCCTGTTTGAAATTAAACACAAATTTTTATACTTTCAAATTCCTTTGAATTTTATTTTTGTTTTATTGTTACATTTCTTTTGTGAATAAGTTACACTGTATCGTATACATGTATTATCATAATAGAGAGACACATAGGTACTCAATAAATTCCGGTCCTTGGTTTTCTCATTTTATTTTTTTAAATTCAAAGCCAAATCCCTTTTTAAAGAATCATTCATAACATTTGTATTTATAACTATATAATTGAAATTTTCGTGACACTTCTGTTAATCATGTTTTAAGCCGTAAATCGTACCCTTCTGAAATCCATGAGAATGCCCCCTTTGTTGAACTCGTCTATTGCTGGTGCACTCTCAGAATTGATGAGAACCAGCTTAGTACTGTATAGCACTTCCGCACTTTCTTCCGCTGCAGTGCCACTTGGGAAAATAGTTTTCCAATAGAACTTTCTAGGAGAAACTTTCTTTGGTTTCATGCCCTGTTAATATATATATAGAAGTATTTTTATGGTCATAGTATTAGAATATCTAAGAAATTTCAGCAGAATATTTCGTATAAAAAATGTTCGGGGTGAATTTTGAATTATTGTGAGAAATATGATATGTTCAAATGCATTTAGTTGTAATGACTAATTGTTTTTTGACAATTGCTCCTATGAGACAATAACTTTGACAGAGAAAATACTGAGCTGTAATTAATACGTCAGCTATAATTGCTATCGTATCGGTTCTGTATATCTTTAGGCATAATTTTTATTCCTAAGCTAGGTCAAGTAACACATAAAAAGGACAGTTTAATCAGCAGTGCACGATGGTCAGAATTTTGACCACAGTCAATTTGCATCTTCACAAGAAACGTTGGTAATGAAAAAGGCTTATTAATAAAAAAAAAATGAAATTATTCATAACGTTGTAGCTTTCATTAATTTTTCGTGAATTTATACATCTGGTGGGTTTTTACGTGTGAAATAGGTAGACCTTTTTTTCTTCTAATTTATGTCCATGTGAACATTTTTTTTACATGTTTTTGAGATAAATCGTACACTTGTTGCTTAATGATAATTTTTTTAGACCATTCATGATTGACGATCCGTTTTGAGAGAGAGAGAAAAAATAGACCATTATTGAGTGACAATCCATCTTAAGACAGACTTTAAGCTGAATTCTAAACGTTACGCCTTAGCACAACCCATTAAAAATTTCTTTGATAAATACCTTTATCACCATTGCATTGAATGGAACTACATAAAAACACTTAATGTTGCCAAAAATAGATTTAATGTTTAGATTTTTCTTAACTTTATGAGCCATACTTTGTGAGAAGGACAAAAATAGCAAAAATTCTAGCTAATCTCTTCAAATAGATTGAGTGTAAATTCAAATCAATTTAAAAGATTTTTTTTTTTGCATTTTTATACGGTAATTGTTTTATCTATACATTTTCTGAAGTAAATTTTATTCACACATTTTTTTATTATATATCAGGCACTGGCAATATAATTTTGGATTTTTTAAGTGAATTGTGATTGACTTAATTTATCAATTGAAAACAAACCTTACTCAATAATAAAAAATGTAATGTTCATTGAGGAGATCCTGTAATTACAGTAATAAAATTATGCTTTCCCGGCCCCTTGTGATGAAATCATATTTTTTCTGTATATACTGACCATTCCACCAGGCGGCTTTTGTTGTGGGTTTTTCTTGGTCATGTTATTCCTATTTTTGGCTCGAGTTTTCTTCGTTTTATTCACGTTTCCTTTGTTCTGCTTTTTCGTGTTTGTCTTGGTGCGACTCATGGCATTATTTGGCATGGTTTGCTGCTGTTGTTGTTGATTTTGTTGTTGCTGCTGCATGCTATTTGGGCCGTTTGGGTTTGAATTCCACTGATTTTGAACGTTTGAATTCATTTGATTTGATTGGCTCGGATTTGAATGCATTTGATTTGATTGGTTTGGATTTGAATGCATTTGATTTGATTGTTTTGGATTTGAATGCCTTTGTTTTGATTGGTTCGGATTTGAATTCCATTGATTTGAATTTCCAGTTGGATTTGAATTCCATGAATTTTGGCCATTTGGATTTGAATTTTGTTGATTTAGACTGTTTGAATTTGGATTTCTTTGATTGTCTCTAAACGGAAATGATTGCCTATTTCTTAAATTCCCATTCATATTCGCATTCATGTTCCCATTATTTTGTGAAGCCGAAAAATTATTAGGGCTCTTATTGTTTCCACGATTTTGGCCACGACCACGTCCGTTTCCTCGATTCATTTGATTTGATCCTTTGCCAGCATTTCGCTGCATAGTTTGGGCTTTTCGTAAATGAAGTTTCAGCTTTTCTATGTTGATTTGGTTTGGGAATTGGTTTGAAGGTCCACTTGGCTCAAATTGTCTAGACATGGATGCTGGTCCATTGTTATTATTTCCACCACCCCAAGATTGTCCCTGTGGCCTGTTTTGCCGGTTTCCGAATGGGTTGCCATTTTGGCCACTTTTCTCTCCACCGAACATTCCTATACTTTGAGCAGATGGACTTTTACTTCCTTGTGATGAACGCCCTCTGGTTCCAAAATTATTACCTTGTCCATTGTTTACATTTAAATTTTGTCCCATTCCAATATTGTTTGGATTTTGAGAGTAACAGTTCTCAAAAAAGAATATAACACACAACATACATATGGTCAGTACCTGAGACATCCTTGAAACTCACAATTTAATCCTCCCTTTTTTCAATATTGTAAAAACATGGGCAAAAATTACAAATATAAAGTAAAAAAAAATCAACTCCCTACAAGTGCTCGAAAAAGACGAAATGCATAAATTTGGGCCTATGATATAACGTGATGGATTTTTGTTAAAGATAAGCAGCTCACTCCATACGTCATAACGGATGTCAGATAAGAAGAAAGTATGTCAAAAGGCGTCAGATTTATGGTCCCTGGCCCTCATGAACTTCCATCCACTAAAATTGTCTTAAAAATGTCAGGTCCACTGTTTCATGACCATAAGGTCATGTCCGCTATACAAAAACATGGATTTACATTTTTTCTCTTTGGTGTGAATTGGAATTTTAAATTCATAAGCTTAAGGATATTATAGTTTAATGTATATTTTCTTCTATTTGATGTAAATTAAATTTATTGTATTATATGATAATTTTATCTATTTCTTCATGTGTATAATTCATTTGTAACTCACTTTTAATTTTCTAATAAAGTAAAATGAATCCAAATTTTAGCATTATTTAACTATCAATTACTTCAAACATTTAAACAGTGATTTTGATTAATTTGCTTTTTATTTATGTTTAAAAATTTTTAAATACAAAATTGTTTTGTTAATTAACACTTATATTGTATTTTATAATGACTAAACAGTTTCATATTTTATTTTCGTGATTGGACATACATCAAAAATAGCCGAAAACGCAAATTTTATATTCCTTTCTATTTCCATTTCCTCATGAATTTTGCGTTAACAGTGACGTTCATTCGTCATATATTTTGGATCACCGATCACGGCCAACCTCAGACCACAACTGACCAGTGTCTTTTTGTTTTGTCAAATTGGATTGGACAGATGAACGAGAATAGACCAATCAAATTCATTGTACCTTGTTTAAGTGACGGAGAAGATAATTGGTAAAGGAGTAATTAATCTAATGATCAAGCAAAATAACCCATACGTACCAAAATATACATGTATATATCAAAGGATAATTTTAGTTGTGGGTTTTTCTTGATCATGTTTGTTTATTCATGTTATATCAATTGTTATCTGAATCCACGAAGTTATGTAAATTTATCCACAGTATTTCTTTAAAGTTTCTAATTGCAAATTGATTAACAAATATATTTTAGGTTAAAATACGGTAGGCATCCAGGCATTCAGAGATATTGTCATGACTTATATACTTATTTGGTATTTTTTGTCTTCTATTTCCGTCATGTATTCTATAATAATTAGTGTAAAAAGGCTTTTGCTATCATTGCAAGACACCACAAATAACTTCTTATTTCATATCATGCTAATAAGCATTGGTATCTAAGACTGGAATCAAGAAAATCTTATTTCTCTAAAACTGTATTAATTTCTTTCCTTTTATAGTGTACAAATGTCAAATTTAGGATGAACTTTCACAGGGATAAAGTTCCGGGTTAAGGTATCAATAATTTTAGAAATGACGCCCGAATTAAAAGGATTTTCTCTTAAAATTAAATTAATTAATTCATTAAAAATTAAAAAGACAGAATTCAATGTATTGCAATAAGGGAAAAGACTGATCAATTTTGTATACATGTAGAAGAGATTGTTACTTGTGCTTGAAATTATCATTAAAGCATGCATTTCTGGTTAAATAAAAAAAAAAAAATGAAAACTATAGACAACCATGAATTTTATCCAATAAATACAAGAAGCATTAAATCAATGCTCATCTGCTCATTATCTACAAATGTATATTTTACAAAAATCACTTATTCATTGAAATTTTTAATCCATATTTTTCTGATTTTTTTCCCCAGAAAGATTAAAACTGAATGAACAAACAAAAATGTTATTTATATTAGAGTCTTGCTGTACATTCATTCCACATTCCTTCAACGTACATAATAAACATAAAAACAAGCGAGTGATTATTTGCAGACAATACATATAATAAAATAAGCACATCAAAAAAAAGTATAACGAAATAAACTTAACTGATTGTTAAAAATGTAGACAAACACATATATACAATGGAATTCTCTCTTGATTTTTGTTACAAAATTATCAAACATGAAATTAGAATCGTTTGTTCTTCAAATTGATCAATGATTCTACATTTATAGTAATTGGCACTGACAATCCGGGTTCTGATGGGTAAACCAGTCCTGATCCGGTAAATGTAGTGGCGCCAATATTTCCGGTTGGTTCTGTAAATTAATTAACAATGCAGAAATTATTATTTAAAAAAAATAATTATGTTTATAGGAAGTAACCTGGAAAGGTAAAATTTATGTGTAAAACTTTTGACCTACGCCGTGGCACAGTACGAGCAGAACAATTGGTATGCGAATAAGACACACTTGAACAAATAATTAATGAATAAACAATATACTAAAGGGAAATTATTCTTCCGTTTTGGAAGTAAGTGAAATTATCGCACATTTGACACAACAGTATAAGTTAATTCGCTGTAATACTGATTGTAACTCAAGGCAAATGCATTAAAAGCTTTTTTGTTCCTCGCTTTCCTCCTTGAAAGTGGGAAAATTTAATTTCGGTCTGTTCGTCCGTCTGTCTGTAATTTCTATCTGTTAGTAACGCTTTCGTTTCCAAGGAATATCTCGAGAAGCCTTTGAGCTCTTGCAGTGAAATTTTAAACAACTTCCTATGGCCTACAGAAGATCCCTATTGTTTTTTAGGTCAAAAGATCAAAGTCATAAATTTAAATATTCTCTCTGTTTTAACACTTTCGATTCCGCGCGATATTTCCAGAAGAGTTTGCTATGACATTTTATACCACAACTCCTGTAAGCCTGAGAAAGTACCCTATGTATTTTGAGGTCAAAATGACAAAGGTCAAGGTCGTAAATTCATACATTCTGTATGTGTAAAACTTTCATTTCCAGGCACCATATGCATCTGAAGAATTTCTTGGGCTTTTGCAATGAAATTTACTACCAAACTTCCTTTGACCCCGCCTGTTCTTCTTAAAGTGACCCCTTCCTACAATTTAGATCCGAACATCCTTTTTACCCCTTAACCCTGTAACTACCGGATTTTTTTTTTTTTTTTTTTTTTTTTTTTTTTTGCATTACACAAAAGAAGAAAGATAGATTTTGTATTTGCTTAAGCATCTTAGAATTTCAAAATTATTTTGAAAATTGTTCAACGTTAGTAGTGACCTTTACAACTCAATCACACAAATGAAGTTTGCAGTCGCCTTAAGATCATTGATATTGACTTTAAAACTTTAAAATGAACTTTAACTGGTGATTTTTTTTAGTATATCACGTGTTATCTTTACCGTCGTTTTAAGAACTTTGATATTTACTTTTAAACTTTAAATAGTACGTTAATCACAAAAGTACTTGGGAATTTAATAATATCTTGATCTTTAGATAAGATTATTTATGAAATAAACGTTTTAAATGTTATTTTCACATTTGTTTTCTTCTTGAATCAATTTTGTGTTTGTCACCGTCTACAAAACAGACTTAAAAATTATATCCACTAAATGTTATTTTTACCCTCAGACAATAAATATTTGTTGACCAATCTCTTATGACATTTGCAGTCGATCTTAGACCATCGATACCATGTAATACCAGACCGAGGCTCAACCTAAGCCAATAAAAACTGTTTTTCATTATACTAGATAATAATAAAGATGTCACAAGAATGCCCTACGATAGTCTCGGCGGTTTGAGTGTTGACCTGTGGTATGCGTTTTTTGTATATTGGTTGGTGTAATAGAGATTTTGGTTAATATTATTTTGAAACAAGAAATTTTTACTCAGAGATGGCCGTTAAAGGAGGAAGAACCAAATAAAAGACCCCCCTCCTCAACCCATCCCCATCGCCAATAATCAATAATACAAAAAATTCTAAAACCTTGAACAATTCTGAGAGACCATTTTTTTTTTCAAAAAAGCATGAATTCAAAACTGAAGATTAAATACAATTTCAATTTTTCTTGGAAGAAAATACTAATTACTCTTCATTCTCCCGAGAGGATGGATTTTTGACATGAAACTATGTAAATTGTTTGAATAAATATGAGACAAACTTCAAAGAAATGAATCAAAGTCTTATGCATGCTAAGACTTTGTGTATGATCTTCATTTCTTCTCGATCGTCTTCAGTCAATCACATTTGATTCAATGTGAGGTATTTTGCAAAAGTGTACCATATCCGCTCAAATGACATTTTCAACCATTATTTTTACTCTAGATCTCTACAAGTAAAAACTGATAAAAGACACATCACGTAATTGATATTAAAATCTATTTTTAAATCAATTCCATGAAGGATATGGAGACAACGAACAGTATTCAATATCAAAGTCCATAAAACAATACAAAATAGGAGCAAATTGCATTTACAAGCATTCTTTTATGGAACTTAGGATCACTTACAACTTCTTAAATTGAGATGTTCGTTAATTATGTTTTGTTTTGTTTTTTAAATCATTATTCAGTCAATGTTTTTAGCAAAGTAATCAAGAAATAGTCTAAAAGCAAACTTTTAAAAATATGACTGTAACATTCATTTCATGATGAGATCATGGTACATTTATGCACATTACTTCTTATACACCGAAGAAAATAAACAATAGCTTTATCGAACGACTTAAAATTGGCTGCTTAATCTTTAATATTTCTTTCGGATTCTTTCATTTGCGTAACCTAAACAAATAGAAGAGAAGTCTCTAATCTCGTTTTATCATGTGGGTGCCACGTTAAAAAGTCCTTTCCTGCACAAAATGTTCGTTGTTCTTTTCAAGAACGGCTTAATCAAAGTTCTTGGATGATTTTTAAATAAAGTTTAGGTATGAAACTATGTAAATTGTTAGAATAAATATGAGACAAACTTCAAAGAAATGAATCAAAGTCTTATGCATGCTAAGACTTTGTGTATGATCTTCATTTCTTCTCGATCGTCTTCAGTCAATCGCATTTGATTCAATGTGAGGTATTTTGCAAAAGTGTACCATATCCGCTCAAATGACATTTTCAACCATTATTTTTACTCTACATCAAAGTCTTATGCATGCTAAGACTTTGTGTATGATCTTCATTTCTTCTCATATACTAGATCGTCTTCAGTCAATCGCATTTGATTCAATGTGAGGTATTTTGCAAAAGTGTACCATATCCGCTCAAATGACATTTTCAACCATTATTTTTACTCTACATCTCTACAAGTAAAAACTAATAAAGCTCACATCACGTATGACTAAAATGGCACGTGCACACGTACAGTCTGAATCATCCCGTAAATGCCGTGAACAATGCAATTAATAAACTGTTAGCTCAATTAAAATGAAGTGCTAGAAAATTAAACTGTCTTTTAAATTTTTTTCCACGTCATATAATTAGTTTTAGTTCGTATTATATGCCACATCGTCGGTAACCCACGGGTGATTCACGTCGATTCTCTCTATCATCACGAGGAAGCCTGCGGAATCAAAACCCGTGGTATGTGACGATGTATATGCCAGGAATATCAACGATAGTGGGAAACATGGGATAATTTATCCATTTTATCCCATGTTTCCTACATGTACTATCGTTGATGCCCTGGCATACTAGAAACGAACTAGACACTGATTCCTTATATTTTCATTTTACTGTGAATGGCGGAATTTAATAACTAATCGAATTCAACGGCTCTTAAAAATCATGTTAGTGAACGTGAAAGAGGTTTTATACATAATTATATAATGACTTTGCGTAAAACTTGTGCTAAGAGAGAACGACTTTTACATGCAGACAACCTTCTCGAAAATCTTTTGAAAGATGCGAAAATGTTCGTTTAAATCTACATTAAAATGTATACTATAATATGATATTTTAAAAGATAAATGTCATAGGATTACTTGATATTTTAAATAGAATTTACTGAAGTTGGGGGGAAAACTTAATTTATTATCGCCTAGTATTTTGTAAAATGTCGTGTATCAGACGTAGTATTTCCGATATGTCTGACTCAGCTTTCAATAACAAGAAATGAACCTATTGCAGAATATTTTTTCCTAGTTAAAGGTTCTACCTATATATACATCGTCACCTTGTATACTGGTAAATGGGGTTTCATGATAAGTATCAGGCATACTAAATATCAATCTGTCCATCATTAACACCTGAGCTAATACTGAGTAATAGCATTATAAGTCAGAAACAAAATTTTCAACTAACGTTTTTCTGTCTTATTCTTACTAATTCGTTACTTACTTCTTAAATACTTACCAATTATGGCATAACAAGCTATGTACACACACAACACACACATAAGAACACTTACCCATAACAAGTTCACAGACATTAGAACACTCACCAATAACAGGTTCAAAGATATATATAAACCCTTACCCATAACAAGTTCACAGACGTTTTAGAACTCTTACCAATATCAAGTTCACAGACATAAGAACTCTTACCCATGACTAGTTCACAGATATAAGAACACTTACCCATAACAAGTTCATAGACATAAGAACACTTATCCATAATAACAAGTTCACAGACATAAGAACAATTACCCATAACAAGTTCACACACATAAGAACACTTACCCATAACAAGTTCATAGACATTATCCTGCTTGATGGCTGCCTTGCAGAACTTGTAGAATTGAGCTCCCCCGACGGTGTGTAGGTTATGGTGGGGAACATGGGTCGTTAGCTCAGCATACAGCTGGATTGGGTCAGCAAGGGTCACGACCTTTAATAATTAGAAATCAAAATATTAAGGGTCATGACCTTAAATAATCAGAAATTAAAATATAAACGTCTCTAAAATAAATTTTATTTTTTTTTATCCGGCTTATCTCCTAAAATTAAATGATGTTCATATAACTAGGAATTTTAGTATCAAAACCTGGTATAAGGAATAAAATATACTGTTGAATCCGGTATTTAATATTTATGTTTATCTTTAGTTAATTCTTTATATTCTAGTGTTATGAATTACCAGTCAATGAAAGGAGAAGGGAAACCAGATTTTCAAAATTAATTAGACAGATATTTATTTGGAATCTTGACCTTCGTTCAAGTACAGTGCATAAACTTGTCAATCGTTTACCTCTCATAACGTAACATTCTTCAACCAGTGTTACCCAACTTTTTCTACTAAGTAAGTAAATTTCATCGAGTCTTCTCCTTTTAAACATTACCATAACATTTCCTTGTTCAAAGTTATCTCACTTTTGCTAGTCAGTAGTTCAAAATATGTCCTCTTCAAATTTGTCGTATTATTTCCGTCGTAAGTAGTTCAAACTTCCTCGAGTATTTTCTTTTTTAAGTTACCCCACTTTTCGAGTAAGTATTTCAACCTTTCTCGACGAGTAATTCCTTTTTTTCAAGTTATCCCACTTTTCCTTTTTTAAGTAGTTCAAACACTCTTTAGAATTTTTTAGTTCAAGATACCCAGCTTTTTAGTAAGCGGTTTAGACTTTTTCGAGATTTTTTTTTAAACCTACCTGGGCCATCACCCTTCTTTGTAATGCTTCTTTGGTCTTCTGGAATTTGGCAGATGTGTGGGTGACGAAACATATTTGACCGTTAGTTCCATCAATATCAAACCGCATAGCCATGTGTCCCTTTAAATAAAAATGAATGAAATTTAATAAAATTAAAGTTATCTGTTCTGTTTAATAAAATCATCTTTTAGGAATTTAAAGAATAGATGCGTTTATTTTAAAAGGAAGACTTGGTTTCTACTATCGAGTCGGGGTAGCAAAAAAAAATATATCGGGATCGGAATATCTTAAATTCCTCCTCGTTGTCCTGGATCTGAAAACGAAAGCTGCTCGAATTTTGTAGCAGACACGCCAGACAGAACAGTTTTTTAAAGAAAGAAACAAACAAGGTAAGATCTTTTTTATCGTATAAGTTTCAATTTAAAATGTTTATTTCAAAGTCTTTTTGTATCTGTTAACTGTATATTCTGTTCAGCACAATTGTTTTATGTCATGTCTGTAAGATATCTAATTTGATCTAATATTTATCAACAGACCATAAAGTAAGTGACCTTTGATGAAAATTTAAAAATAAATGTTTTCTGTTATTGCAAAGGTAAAGTGAAATAAACTTTTATTGTTACAAACGATTTCATTCATTTAAAAATTCATATAATAAAAAAGGAGAAATTTGTATAAAATCATGTAGAAATAATCTGATAACTCTCCATTCAGAATCAAGTAGTTTAAAAGTTTATCTACCAATTTATTTTTTTTTAAAAATCTTGGAATAGTTGTGAAAAAACTTTTTGATATGAAATAAACATCACACACGAGTATAGTAACATAATATGATATCACAATGTTCAATTATTTTCTTTGCCCCCTCCTCCCCCCCCCCCCCTTGAATTTTTATCGAAATATAAAAACGTATTTTTTGTTTTTAAAAATGCATGATCGTTTAGTTCACATTAGTTTAGTATTAACATTTTATGATGAACAAGGCATCGCAAAGCAAAGTATCTGCTCGCAAAGAACACCTGATCCCCATTTAAAGCTAAACACGATTCGTATAAAAAATGTGTGTGCCATTTTTGATCGGACTCTCGTTATATCTGAGGACCCCTATATAAAGGGCTTGACTTACATGTAGTCACTCCTGTTTAATCAGTCGACACTGGTGTAGACAGACGGATGTACACTACATTTATACAGCACTCGGTAGTGAAAAAATGACGATAATACTTCTTATGCAGGAAAGTAAGATACCAAAGAAACTTAGATACTTGTACAGGTCAGAAGCTCAGGGCAGTATATAAACAAACACAGAGAGATGTAACTGCAATAAAATGTAAACAAAGATCATGCAAGATAACCGACACGAACACGGGTCACCATTCCACACCGATACAAAAAGCAGTCATGTGTAACAGATGTGACGAGTATAGCCTGGTGTTGATATCATAGACAGATTTATCGAAAATGTCGTATGCCTTTTTACGAGTCGTGTTCAGCTTTAAATTACATTTTGCGTTAACTTTCGTTACGAACGCACTCACTAATCCCACCACACCTGTAACTATCATAATATGATATCTCTTCCAACTTCGTGCGAGGGACTTATAAAATGAAATAACAAAAAATGGAGATAACAAACAGTATTCAAGATCAAAAATCCATAAAACAATGCAAAACAGGAGCAGAGTAAACACGGACCTTCAAAACATCAGAGGTGGGATCAGGTACCATGGAGGAGTGAGCATCTCCTGCCGACTTTTTGTCTAACGGCAGGTTTCACGAATATACTTTTTTTGCAATTCTTCATAACAATACAACATACCAAAATATTGAGTCTTTCTCGTTTTTAATATTTCTTTTTTTAAAATGTGTGGAGAAAATGAAGTATGAACCGAAAAGCATTTTAGGCAATTTCTAGGATTTTGAAGGAAATATCCTCCGAAATCTTGCACAAATGCCTGGATAAACACATAAATTTTAGGAGGAAATTTCTTACAGTAATTTAACTTGAATCACAATATTTGGGGGTGTCGTCTGACCTTAACTTACCAGTACAAACATATATCTATGCATTCCTTCTTAATATCAATATTAATTTATTACACACTCACGACTGTGAAATCTAAGAGGGTGGATGATTTATCCAGACTGCCATGAAGAGGAACCTGGTCGGATACAACGTATATCACCCTTTCGTCGTCCTTTACAATTGCAAATTCATCCATTGTTCCTCCATGGGGCAGAACTGTCGTCCAGAAAAGTCGAAGACTGGAGTCAATAGGTGCGGGGGGCTGATATACCTAGGAAATGAATTTAAAAAATTTTGTCAAAATAGTTGAATAGATGTGTTATTATGTGGGTAATTTGCATCAACAGGAAATGATTAGGATTTAAATAAATTGGCTAATTGAGATGGTTTTATTTACCTCATTTTATTTCCAGACAATCTATCTAAATTCTCATTCTTAAATCAAATAAGCTCTCTAATATGTATCAATACAACGAAAATCATCCTTATTCTTGTAAAGTAAAGTTTCTGAATACAAAATAATTGAGTAAACTCACTTTAATCTGGGGATTTAAAGGAGTTGGAGGAGTAACCCTGACATTCGGCTGATAAGAGGGATATCTCGCTGAACTTGCAAACACTTGTCGATTTGCTCCAGGGAAATTATAGTTTTGAATGAAGGCATTGTTTTGCTTAGGGAGAATGCTTTCTGTTGCCATCATCATCGACGTCATTTCCGGTGTGTTGTAAAGATGAGAAGTGATATCGTTCTTAGCATATACATTTTGGTTCATCATAGGAGTGACCCTTTGGTAGGATACCATACCATTTTGCACCGGAGCAGGATATATTGTATTTTGTTGTATTAAAAGTTTTTTGATTTCTCTTTTTATAGCATTGTCCTCAACAATGCCTTGATCTCGCTGGTTTCCATATCGAGAAAATTTATAAATAGCCTCACTTTTTCTTAAAGGTTTAATTATACCGACTGCTGGCACCATAGTTGGAGTTTTATCCAATTCCATCACTTCTTTTGCAGCTTCTCTATATTTCTTGAAAGCATCTGTTTTTGAAATCGCTACTATGCCTTCGGGTGCACCTTTGAAAACTTCGTTGATTTTCTGCAAAGTATCTTTGGCCTTTTCTGATATGAGGTTCAAATCGTTAAATTTGGAAACCACAGCTTGAGTAGTTGTTGTCGGTGGGCGGCGAGTGGTTGTTGTTGTGGTGGTGGGTGCTTTGGTGGTGGGCCACTTTGTTGTTGGCTCAGTTGAAGTTGTTGTTTTATCTGTAACAACTTGTTTGGTGGTCGATACTGTTGGGAGAATAACAGTTTCCACTGGAGCCACAGGACGTTGTACTGCTCTAACAGCGACAGAAGGCTTAGTTTCTGCAAAGATATTTTGTAGCGGGTTCGGGGTAGTCTTTTCGAAGGCCTTCCTAGTTTGAATGATTTTAACATTGGACTTCTTGAGTTTGTCTTTTTTAAGCGATAAACCAATATCATATCCTGTGATGCCCATTACCATGTTATTTACAGAAGTTGTTGGTCCAACATTCCCAATTTTTGTTTTAGTATTTAATTTTTGCATTTTCGTTTCACCAGCCTGTGTTTCAGCCCTGTAAACGAATGGTAAGTTACTTGACATTTTAGGAATAAAGGTGTCTTGCATTTGTGGTAAAGGAACAGTTGAGGTTCGAATATCGATATTTCCAGGAATGTCTGTAAGCTGAACGGTTTCAGTAGAGTTAAGCAAGGCTTCGATTTCTTTTTGAATATCACTAGAATAAATGCTATTACTTGAATACAGTCCGTTTCTTCTTTTTGCTGCTGAGGCTCTGTCCATGGTGCTTATCGCCTTAGGCGCAGGTGTAAAAAGGGACTGATCTGGGAAAATGAAATCATTTTTCACGAGTTTACTTGATCCAAGTTTCAAATTGACCGCACCTTTGGGAATTTTATTCACTTTGGTATTGCTGGAATAGCTTATATCGTTAAAAGCCTGTTCTGCGAAACTTGACACGAAATCGCCAGAGATGATCATACCAAGGGTGGACACTTCAGTCGGGGGCTGGGTGACAGGGATTCCTTGAATAGGAACGGTCGGGGAAGGCATGGGCCATCTGAAGTCTGTATGTTTGTCTCGGATAATGTCATGCTTAAAGAACTGCTTTTTATCGGCTTTATCGTGAATGCTGTTCGTGTACAGAGAGTTTTCAGACCTATGAATTTCGGCTGTATCCTTGTAAATAAACGCGGGTTGGAAAGAAACACTCGGTACTTCTGGTATCTTTACTTTGGGTTTCTTGTTAGTTTTGAAACTGAATACAAAGTTCTTTCCGCTGCTTTGGTTATTGCGTAAAACAAGTCGAGGTGATTTTCTGACAGGGGTTTTCTTTGTAGGTTTCATCTTCTGAATTTTTGGGACTCGTGTTGTACTTTCCACTTCGTGGGCAGCCAGAAGTGAAATTGAAAAATCTGTCTGCCTATTTCCGAGTTTCTTCACTTTCTCTACATTAGCCTTCATGTTTGATGCAATTTTAGGTACTTTTGGTAATAAATGTTTACTTTTCTGTGATCCAGCATTAGATACCTCTTCTCTTTGAACTGTATCGACTTGTAAGTTTAACATACCCGCATTTGCTCTATCAGATATACCAGACAAGGTTCCCACAACTATATTGTTTTCACCATTGGTTATACCCGTTCTCGTAAACTCACTTGCATAGTGATCTAGATTAACATTCAAGTTCTCAGACGAGGTGATTATTCGTGATTTTTTAGGATCATCTGCCAAACCGTTAGTGATGAATTTCTTAGGAGAAGCCGCTGTTTTCAACTTTTCGCTCTTTTTAATTTTTGCTTTTACAGGCACTTTTTCAGTTACAAATTCAATTTTCAGCGGAAAATGTTTTGTGATTGCTGGCGGTAGCTTTGTTTTCTTTGACGGAGCCTTTGGTTTTAAAGGCACTGTTGATGGTTTGGGTATTTTTTCTTTATTAGACTTGATCTTCTTCGCTATGTTTGAAACAGTGACCGTGTCCACTTCTCTCAACTCATCGGAACGGAACGCTTTTAAAGTGGCTGGAGGTTTGAGAGACTTCTTTTTTGGAGGTGTAGTCTTACTTACGTGTTGCGCCTTTGCTTTCGTCTTAGTTTTCACCTTTTCTTTCCTTCGAGGTCTCAAGGGTACCAAATTTGGGGGAATACCAACTGTAAATTCTGTGTTTCCAACTTCAATTGTAGTGTTCGGCTTTATTCGAAAACTGTGAATCGACTTCTGTTGGATAACTTCTTTGATAATTTTACTTTTATTTTTCCTCTTCTTCTTTAAATCTTTTTCAGACTTTATGGTAGAATCTTGTAGTGATTTTAATAACTTATCTTTCTTTCTGCGATAATTTGTTTTCCAGTCTTTCGTGTCAATTTCGATGCTTATCGGAACAATTTGAGTCGGAGGTTTTTCTTTGGACTTCAATTCATTTTGATGCGGTCTTATACTTTTCCTACGCGTGAAAAAAACATCAGTCATTTCTTTCTTTTTTCTTTTATCCGTGTTTGTTTTACTTTTCTTTGTTACTTCAATTTGGGTTTTTGAATTTTCTTTGTTTACTCGTTGTAAGTATTTCAGTTTATTTAACATGGGCATTTTGTCATATTTAGTTATAGGGGACTCTTGAAAGATTTTCCTTTCCGATATCGTATTCATTTCTGCATCGTATCTATCTCGATTTATTTTCTTCGATTTCGTTTTTACCGTTTTTCTGCTTTTTGATTTCTTTTCGGACGTGTTGAGTCTTTTTTCGGATTTCTTCTTTTTGGTTTTAGACTTTATTAATTTCACCTCTTCCAGTTTATTCATTGATTTCTGGTCGGACTTTTGTTTGAAGGCAATAGGATCAGCTGTTGATGTCAGATACTTATCATTAAAGACTGTTTGTCCATCTAAAATGTATTGTACTGCTTTGTTATCGGCCGCCATGCCTGCCAGAGATCCAATTATGTATTTACGTTTAATTAAAAACTTACTGACTGAATTTGAGAAATCCTTTTCCTTAATAAATGGATCTTTTTTATTTAGCGACGTTTGAATATCATTTCCCCCTTCTTCTGGTGTCATTGTATATTTTACACTTTTATATTCAATTTTGGGCTTTAGACCTTTTTCTTTTTCTACCACAATTTGATGCATGCTTCTTGTAATAGAAGCTCTTGCTCGCTCTGGTAAATACGAAATAGAATGATCCAAATCCTTTATCTTCTTATCAGCGATAGTTTCCTTTGAATACACTTCATTTATTTTATTTCGAATCGCTTTCCGTCTTTTGATTGGTTTGAATGCTTTTTCCTCTTTTAATGGCGACGGAAGTAAAAACGAAGACTTATTAGAAGCATCTTCCACAACAGTGATCTCTGGCATTTCATTTTTAACACTTTTATCCGTGTTTCTTTGTTTCAGAGTCTTAAAAGCATTACTTTTATGTGCTCTGGAAATTTTTCGTTTTACTCCATTGTCATTTTCACTTTTGGCTGGTTTAGATGTCGTTTTAGCATTTGAAATTCCAAATATACAAAAACACATCACCGCGAAAAGAATAAAACGAAAAAAACATTTTATCAACATGGCTAAAAAATGGAAATGTACACTCTTAGAAAAAAGTAATGTGGAATTTAAAGCACATCCTCACACCAAACGCGTTTCTTAATTACATGAGGACAGTCGGGAATTGTTTGTCATACATGTGATATATTTGAAACACGGGGCGGATATTAGTGTATTTATTTATATCGATATTTTGCCATAAAGTGTCAGGATCATGCTTCGGCATTTTTTTTTCTCCTGATCAACCATGAATACCAAATGAACAATACCTACTCATTTATTGCTGCATGCTGTCGGCACAGAAATTTTGCGGTTTTAGCCGTCCTGCGAAAACCATGACACGCTACAGTCATGTCCAATTTGCCATTGCTCAAAAAATACCAAAAAAACGTCTTCAGCGACAATTAGCTTTCTTTCTCAGTTGATTTATATGTCATTTGACGTAATACTTAAGCAAAGGAAAAGAATGGTCTGTTCCTGCTGGTGAGAGTTCGTGCAAGAAACAAAATAATGGTACAGAGGTTTTCATTGGCTTTGAAGCCAATATCCTGTCAGCGAATACCTTCTATAATTAATATTTTTATTTGAAAAAATAAACTTTCAATCAATGTGGTAAGCGACATTTTAATCTTATTTAGGATGTCTTTCATTGATAATAAATTAATACCGAAAATTTTAAATCTTGATAGACATTTTTTTAAGAAAAAAAATACATGTAAGTGGGCAGCGTATATGATGTATAGATTTGTATCAAAATGTCAAAATGTTGACAAATAAACGATTGTGTACATGTTGGTTCTTAATTACGTTTAACTTTTTGTCGATTTTAAGAGGACGCGCGGTTGTTTTAGTATCTATTTTTAGCTGTCTATTTTATAAGTTTTGTACCTTCATGGTATACGCTGACATCAAATGAACGATTAGTTCGGAGTCTTAGCTTTTAACCACATCGAGATTTATCTACAAAAAAAGAATGACAGCAGAACTGCAGTACCATGTATTTTATGGCAAGCACAATGTAAACTGAATGAAGGATGACCTGTTTTAGTATTACTTACTTGATGAAATATTTAAAACTATTTACTGTTACTGAAAATTACGGAAAATTGAAATTATTTAAAATTTCTTTTTAAGTAGACGGTCAAAACGTTTTTTTTAAAATAATTTTGCTTATATGACTTCTTTGCTGCATT